TCCAGGGTGTCTTTTCATTTATTGTGTCTTCATTAATGTCTTTCGTCAATGATTATAGTAATGTTTGATGTGATATTTTACCTCCTTTGTTGTTTATTGCAACTTATTCTTTTGGATGCTATTTTAAATGGCAATGTTTTCTTAATTTTATTTTCAAAGAATTTGTTGTTAGTGTATAGAAACATAACTGAGTTTTGTTTGTCAATTTAACAATCTGCAGCTTTACTATATTTATATATTAGTTTTTACAGGTTTTTATGGTTTTCAGATTTTCTTCATACAAGATTATGTCATCTGCAAGCAAATAATTTTACATCTTCCTTTCTGATTTGGATGCCTTTTATTTCTTTTTATAGCCTAATTGCTCTGGCATGGGTTTCCAATTCCATGTTGAAATAAATAGGTAGAACAAGCATTTTTGCCTTGTTTCAGATCTTAGAGGAAAAGCTTTCCATTTTTCACTATTGAAGATGATATTAACGGTATGTTTTTATATATGGTCTTTAATATATTGAGGTAATTTATTTCTAATTAGTTAAGAGTATTTTTATTTTGAAAAGTTCACATTTTTAAAATACATTTAAAATAATCTCCATTTGATACAGATAATTGATAATAGAAAACATTAAAAGAAGGGAACATTAACATAATAATGTCAAATGAAAATCCTTTCAAATTTTGAAAGATAATGTTAAAATATTTAGTATTTCAAAGAAAGCATTCCTAAAATAAAGTTTCAATACATAAATTACATTAATTGCCCTATCTTAATTTTTGTTTTGTGATGGATATTTCAGAAAAAAGAAAATGTCCTGCATTAATATTGGTCAGAGTCTTAAGAGTGTGTCCAAAATCAATTTCAAGTTGGGAATCATCTATATATCCTGTTTTGGCCTGCAAATTTATGCTGAGCAATAAATTCATAGCTTTATCATAGCTCCCTTTTATATGAGAAATCTTTTTTCTTACTGATTTCAGTTTCTTTTTATTTTTGTTAATTTATTTTGACTTTGACTGTTTGATTATAGTATGTCACAGTGTGGAAATTCTCTGGTTTTCTTGCATCTGGATGTCTATTTCTCTATTTGAGGAGTTTTCAGCCATTATTTCCTTGAACAGCAAAGAAACGAAATAGACATTTCTCCAAAGAAGACATACATATGACCAACAGGTATATAAAAAAGTGCTCAACATCACTAATTCTCAGGGAAATGCAAATCACAACCATAATTAGATACCACCTTATACCTGTTAGAGTGACTATCACTAAAAAGACAAGAGATAAGAAGTATTGGCGAGGATGTGTAGAAAAGGGAACCCATGTGCTTTATTGATAGGGGTGTAAATTGGCACAGAAAATGACCAAGATATGAAAACAACCTCATCATGTCAAAGGATGAATATGTAAAGAAAATATGGCATATTCATATGTTTGTATAATGAAATATTATTCAACCATAAGAAGGAATGAAATACAGCCATTTGTGACAACATGGATGAAACTTGAGGTCATTATGGTCAAGTGGAATAAGTCAGAAGGAGGAAAGTGCACAGTCCATGATGTCACTTATATATGGAATTGAAAATAACTGAACTCACAGAAACAGTGAAATGGTGATTCCCACTGGCTGGGAGGTGAGGGAAATGGGGGAGCTTCTGATGACGGGTACAAACTTGAGGTTTAAGACAAACAAGCTCTGTGATCTAATTATAGCATGGTGATTATAGTGTAATAATATACTTGAAAAACAGGTAATATTACTGTATTGTATATTTGAAAGTTGCTAAGAGAGCAGATCTTAAATGCTTTCACCATGAAAAAAAGGTAATTATGTGACATGATGGAGGTGTTAGCTAACCCTATGCTGGTAGTTGTTTTGCAAAATATATGTGCACCAAATCAACAGGTGGTACACCTTAAATTTTCACAATGTTATATGTCAGTTATACCTCAATAAAGCTGGAAAAAAGTGAAATAGCATCTCACACCTGTCAGGATGACTATTATTAAAAAGACTCAAGATAACAAGTCTTGGTAAGAATGGTAAGGATGTAAAGCAGAGGGAACCACCTGCACTACTGGTGAAAATGTAAACTAGTCGTCATCGTGGAAAAGAGTATGGAGGTGTCTCAGAAACTGAAAATAGCATTGCCATTCATCATTCCTGTTGCTGCATATATGTCCTCAGGATTTGAAATCATGATCATTAAGGGATATCTGCACTCCTTTCTCCACTGCAACATTATTAACAATAGCCAAGGCATGGGTACAAGCTCACTGTCCATGACTGATGATGGATATTAAAAATGTGGTGTACACACACACACACACATACACACAATGGTACATTATTCAGACCTAAAAAAGTGGAAAACCCTGCCGTTTGCAACAACATGGATGGAGCTGGAGGGCATAATGCTAAGTTAAATATGCGAGACACAGAAGAGAAATACTGCATGAACTCACTTACATGTGCAAATAATATGGTCCAGTTCACAGAAGCAGAGTTGAATGGTGGTTATCAGGAGCCTGGGGTTGTGGGAAATGGAGATGTTGGTCAAAGGGTACAGGTTTCTGTTACATAGAGAAGAAATTCAAGAGGTCTAATATATAGCATGATGACTATAGTTAACAATACCATATTGTGTCCTTGAAAGTGCAAAGTAGATCTTAAATTAAATCTTGCCATCACACACATGCACGCATGCACACACACACACACACACACACAATGGTAACTATGTAGAGAGGATGGATTGATGGATATGCCCATTAGTTTAATTGTGGTGATCTTTTCACATTGCACATATATCAAAACATCAAGCTGTACACATTAAGTATATCCAATTTTTGTATGTCAAAAATACCTCAATAAAGCTGTTAAAAAAAGTGATAAAGCCAATATTTGGATTCATGCAGCCTGACTCCAGAGTTCACTCTCCTGTTTATGATGTTCTCCTACCTACCTTGAAACTAAAATAAATGCAGTCTATGTTCACTGCATCAACTTAATATCATCTGTGTGGCCATTCACAAAGATGTTTGAAATACTAATAATGTAGAATAGAGGTATTTTACTGTCTTGGGAAACATATAGAACTAGATTAAAACTTTGCTTCTGGTACTTCTTGGCAAAACAACCTCAAAGAATTTGTTAATTTTTGACCTTTATATTTCACATCTGTATATTTTAATAGAAATATATAACTTTGTACTAATTTTGAGACATAAAGATAACAACAAAAAAGCCTTGGACACAGGCACTATTTGTTCCTGAAAATGAAAGGATAACAAGATTCATAGTTTCTCCTTTAGATGAATCACTTTTGAGGGTAAATGGTCACTTCAGTATTTTACATTGAATGAATATTTTATTCCAGAAATTAAAAAAATTTACTCTGTTTTCCCAGTTTTAATTTGACTGAAAATACTTTTTAACCACATGAACCCTTCCAATTTTTCCCCTATGTAGCTGCTTCTACTTACAGCCTTGATTTTTCTTCCATTTACATTTTAGGATATTTCTTTTCTCCTCTACCTCTTACCTTCAATTATTCATCTGAAATAGAAATCACCATGAACACATATATTGTGTGTGCATATGTGTGTGTGTGTGTGTGTGTATGTGTGTGTTTATGTTTATGTGTGCTGGTGTTTTTGTGGAGTCCGTTAGGTAGGTTTATGGTGGAACGTGACAGTTCCATTCTGTGTTATTTGACACTCCTCATGAATGACGTGACAACTTCGGGACACCAATGCAGACACTGATTTTTGAAATAATAGAGAAAGCAAAATGAAAGGAGAACACTGAAAACTTGTGTTATTTTAATAGGTTTATTTTAAAATAATTTTTTTCAGGAGGATAATGTTGGTAAAGTTTTCCAATTAAATAATGAGATACAGTACTGAAAATGAAATGGGATCTGGTAACTGTTACAAAGGATGTGGTAAACCTTAATATACTGAAATAGTTCAGCATTAAAATGTCATGGTATAACCCCTGACATGCAAATCCAAGGTGCAAGTGTTAATCTGATCTGCCCACTCTGGGCACCAATTCTAATGGCAATTCTAACTTACAAATCTATACTAGGTCTTTATGAGGAAAGCACAAATAGAGAAAGAGAGCAGCTTCTTGCTGCAGAAATGGGTCTTTTCTAAGTCCACTAACTAGGGACAAGCACGGTGAGTATTTCCAGAATGCCTGGTGTACTTTCTTACATTTAACTGCTGTGATCCAACTTTAAATAAAATAATGCAATACATTTTTTCTCCATACCATGTTCTACCTTTCTGTACTTCAGTCTCAGAAAATATGTTGTATCATTCTTACATTTTTAAGTTTTTTAGTCTTGATGACATAAATCATTTTACTTTTTAGCCTCATTGAGTTATAAACTTCTATTACTGCTTATTTTCAGATGTATGATCATAAATAAAGTGTGGCTAACGTTCTATAATTTGTGTCACATCAGTCACACAATTTATAAAGATCTCAAGGTGTTTGTAACACTATGTTTATATATATATATAAAATGTCTCAGTTATCTTAGTAACCAAAGGAAACAATAAGAAAATTATTTTAAAATGTCATATATAAAATAGCATTTGATTCAATAATATTAAATATTTCAAAAATAAAATGATGTCATAATGAAGTTGATTGATACATAAAGTTAATTTTCTTGCTCTGGAAACATTCAAGAGAAAACAAGATACCTAACTTGAAATGTATGATAGTGGGGGTTGCAAATTATAGAGTACTAGCTACATTTTCTTTGTGGATGATCATGTGTTTGCAAGGTTGTGATTATATAAATGTATTTTTTCTTATCAAACATAGTGTAGACCGTGTTGTGAGTTGTATTTTACAGTCATGCCAGAACTCTCAGGCAATGCAAGAGTCAGGGTGAAAATGTGAGGGAAGCTACTAATCTGAGGGCAGAGGTACAAAAAGAAGAAAATCTGGTGCAGTGTAATAGATTGTATGGAGGAGTGACGAGATACACTATTATGTTTGTTATCTGTACAGATTCAGCCAAACTATGACTCAATAACTAATCAAACAAAGCCCTCATTTATCTTTTGTTTTCTGATGTAATTTTAACATGACATAACTTTCTCATGGCATTTTTCACTTCTGCATTCCTCAGTGTGTAGATGATTGGATTGAGAAAGGGTGTTCCAATAGTATAAAATACTGCCACCATCTTGTCCGTGGGGAAAGTGGTTGGGGGGCGTGTGTATATAAATATACATGGACCAAAGAATAAGATGACTGCAATGAGGTGGGAAGTGCAAGTGGAGAGGGCTTTCTTCCTCGCTTCTGCACTGTGGTTTTGCAGGGAATGCAGAATAAGAATGTACGAGGTCATCAGAATTACAAAACTGCTGGAGCAAATGGCCCCACTGTTAGTCACCCACAGCAGATTGATCACATAGGTGTCCATGCAGGCAAGTTTCAACAAAGGCTGCAAGTCACAGCAATAGTGATCAATCAGATTGGGTCCACAGAAGGGCAATCTCAAGGCCAAGACAATCTGAGCCATAGAATGTATAAAAGACCCTATCCATGCAAGAGTGATCAGGATAATGCAGACCTGGCGGCTCATAATAGTTGGGTAACGCAAGGGTTTGCAGATGGCCACATAACGGTCAACGGCCATGAGAATGAGAACAAAGATCTCCATGCAGCCAAAGAAATGCAGTGCAAAGACTTGAGTCATGCATTCACTGTAAGATATGATTTTTTTGGCAGACAGGGAATCCACAATCAGTCTAGGGGCTGTGGAAGTTGACAAGCAGATATCAGCCAAGGACAAATAAAATAGGAAGAAGTACATGGGGCTCCCAAGTGTCCGGCTGGACTTGATGGTCATGATAATAAGCAAATTCCCCACCAAGGTTCCCACATAGAAAATGAAGAAGATTACAAACACCATTTTCTGCCTCATAGGATCTGATGTCAATCCTAACAGTATGAACTCAGTTACGCTGTTATTTGGCTGCATTGTTTCAATCAAAGTGGAGAAAGTACAGATTAGAAGTAATAAATCTGCAAAGGAAAGAAATTAAGACGTGAATACTATAGTTGGAGGTCAAATGCACGTGCTCATTCATGGAACTGCCACTTTTCAGTGGGTAATCACTTGCCTTCCGTGTTGTTTATTCCTGAATAAAGTGACAATCATAATATTTATTCAGTCTACTTAGCTGATTGCTTATGAAAACAATGATACGTTTAAATAATGAGAAAATAAATGATTCTTCGGGTATAATAAACATTACTTTAGAGGAGTTGGCATGTGGCTAATGTCCTGGGCAGAATATGTTTTTTCTTTTTTCTTTTTTTTCAGTTTTCAGCTAAGACCTAGTAAGATAACATGTTGCAAAAAAAGGAAAAATTTATGCATAACTTAATTTTCATGCTTTCAAGTAATATGCTTTCACATTACTTGAACCTGCTAGGCCAGTTATAAAATATCTTCTAGTGAATATTCTGAACATTCAAAGAATATATTTTAATATTGATAGTTAATTAAGCTTCCTTAATTAAACCTGAAGATACACACACACACACATACCACACACAAGTGGCGGGGGGGGGGAGAGAAAGAGAGAGAGAGAGAGGGAGAAGTAAGTGAATGGGAGAGAAATAGTTTTAGCAATGAACACTCAGTTGGTTCAGCACATCATGTGACTGACTTTAATCTTTTGCCTTTGACTAAGCTTATTTCTTTTTACTTTACCTTTCAAACATTTCCAGTTGCTTACTGTTATAAATTCAGCTTTTATCATTAAACTTTGTACTTTTAAAATCATACTGTTTTGTTCAAAGTTAAATTCTTCCCCTTTTTCATTATTTTTCTGAGTTTGTCAACATTTTCTTAAAAGGAGATGCTACGACGCAAAGATGAATAGAGTGAGAACATTTGCGATACATCTGAATAGTATTTCAACTTTTATTCCTGTTACGCACCAGGAAATATGGAAAATTAGCTCAGGATGCCCCAAGTTACAGAAATTTCAATAGAATTGTTTGGATCTATATTCTTGAGTGTCCCAAACCCTGACTTCAGTAAGAGAAGATAGAAAAAATAAAGGAATTATTATTTATTCATGTGTACCAAATGATGGGCAAATTCTTTTATGAATTTCATCACAAATGTTTTCCAAATAGTAGTGCTGTTAAGAGCATAGCATAAGTGTCAAACTGGGAAAATATATTTATAGCATATATACCAGAAAAAAAGCATAATTTCCTCAAATATAAGTCAATTTCAGAGATCAGTCTTTTAAAACACAGCACAAGTGTATAAAAGCAAAATAATTTTAAAAGAAGCTATCAAAAATAATTAAGCATATGAAAATATGCTCAACTTCATTCTAGTTAAATAAATTCAAATATAAATCCCAAACAGATATATTTTACCCATTGGATTAACAAAGTGATCTTCTGATAAAAGTCTTAAGTAGTGCTGAAAATGATGTGGGAAAAAATCTCAGTTTTTTGCTAGATATTTAAGTGGGATCAATCTTTTATGAAGTGATTTCCAACACTGATGATACTACAACTGTATACAGTCATAGGTCTAGTGATTCCATTTGCTCATTCTCAGGGACAAAGATAATCACTGCAGCCCCTTCCATGGTAGCAAAAGACAGGAAACAACTTCAGTGCCTATCAGAAGTGAGCTGAATAAATCAGGGACCAAATCATCACTGAATCAGTCATCAACCAAAATGAAGCAAGATGTATATGCAACAGTTTCTAAAATACATTGTAAAGTGAAAGAGTTCAAAACTGTGTGCTTAGGATGGTAATATTTGTGTTAATAGCAGAATAATATAGATCATATATAGATAGATTCATATAAATTACTTTTAGTTAGGAGAGCACCAAAATAGCATAAAATTTGTGGTCTCTGAGTGGGAAAATTCCATCTTGGTATCAAAGTTGGGGGATGACCCACCTTTGGGAATATTTTAATATATGTCATAATTATGCTGCCTTAAAAATGAAACTTCCAAACACTTTATCTTAGTAAATAATTTATTTATATTGGCATATTACTACAACAACTATCTTCTAATGTAGGCAGTAGGGATAGTGAAATTCTTAGGGCAATATTAAGATCTAGGAATTTGAATGAGAGATGGTGAGTCAGCTCAAAAAATTTCAAAAAGTTTTCAAAATACGGTTTTTTCACAACTCTTCAGCAATCAGAAATGAAAACTGGTTTGCAGTTTCTAACAACTATTATGCCATAATTGTTTTTATCCATATATCTATCTGTATCCAGATACAGATGGACACTGACACATTTGTATAGTTCACTGACTTATATATATATATGAACGATAATGTAAGAATGACACACCTTAGAACAAAGTAACACAGGGAAAGCGATTTTTATCTCTTTACTGCCAAATACAAGTTTTAGGAAGAAAGTAGGTGTTTAATAGTAAATATTTATGGAGTGAATGAATTAAAAGAATTTTCCGTAGATACAATTCAGTCATGCTTGACACTATTCTGTACTCAGTTACCCACTGATAAAGGAGAATTGTGTTCTAATATATCCACAGCAAAATCATCGTATTCATGGAGCATTTCCTGAAATGCTCAAGCAGCAATATTTCTATTTGGTTATCTCTCACACCACGTCTATCAATGATAGTGCCCATTTCCATCAGGTGCTGTGTGCACCTTTTTATTCCCATCTGCTCATTTGAGATTGTAACGCACTTTTCGTATTCCTAAAATTTCTATACTTTTGCAAGTGCCTTTTATGTTTTAGATTTCTGTGGTGGCATTGATCAGATTTATTTTCTCCAAGTTATTAAATGCAACCCTGTTAGTTCCAAATAGAAACCTTACCAGTTGTGATAAGATCTTACTTAGAAGTTAGGATGTTCAGTGGGAACCAGGATCTCACAAAGAGGCTTAGCTTCTGACCTGCATGCCAAAAGGCTGACTGAGTTGATCCCAGATTCATCATACACTTTCTGAAATCCAACGTCATGCAAGATTTTGACAGAAAAAGTGCTTCTCTTTTGTCTTCCCTGAAGGACTATTTAGGTATGAATGATGCAAAATATAGGAGTCTGGGGAAAGTCATTCCCTAAAGTGTGCCTTCCCTTCCAATTAAAATACATGTGCTAAAGAAGTTAACATTTAATATATGTTATTAGATTACAAAAAAGGTGGCCTATTCTTGCAATCAAAGATGTTCATTTGTGCCATAAATGACATCTTTTGACTAGAATAAAAAAATGATTGTCTTCTAGTACTCAGGTCTTGTTTCCTAACACTGTACTCTGATAAAAGAAACTAGGACCTCTTAAAGAAATGGCTGATTCTAGGTCTGGGGTAGGGAATGGACAAGATGAACTGGAGCACCTTGTAGTGCTAGACAGTAAGGAATAACGAAAAGACACACACAGTGATGAGAATATGCCAATATGACACAGGAGCTGAGTGAAAGTAACTCCAGTGGCCAAAGATGGGAAGATAATTCAGCAGCAAAATAAATAACACTGAAGTGAACTATAACTCACAGTATAAAAGGTCCATGAGTTCATAATGACATAAATAATTGAATAAGTAACTAAATAATAGGGGAGTATAGACAAATCTCACATCAAAAATAGTTCCTAATAATTATGTAGATACCATGCCCTCAAAGAGTCATCTCTTTTTTATGGACGGTACATAGTGACTTCTTTCTAAAAGGTACAGTATGAAATGGGGGGAAAAGTAATTTTATGGAGAATTGTGACAAACACTGTCTCAGCCAGGTGATCAAGGTTAACGTGAATAGTTGTAAGTCACACTGAGAGTATGTAGCTACTGATGTGCGGTGAAAAGGGTAATTCACTCCTGCAGTCTTTCTCCCAATAACCCATAACCCCAGTGTGATCTTGAATAAAATATCAAACTCCAATGTAAGATTACTGTATAAAATGCCTGGCTAATATTAAAACTGTCAAGATCATCAAAGATGAGAAAAGTCAGATAAACTGTCACTGTTTGGAGCAGCTGAAGAAAATACGACAACTAAAAGTAATGTGGTATCCTGGATTGTATTCTGGAGGAGAAAAGCAATTATCAGTTGAAAACCATATTTTTTTTACTTTTAATACAATTGTTTTAATATATTTAATATACAAATGTGTTAACATAAATGAATTAGTTGTGACAAATGTACCATATGATGTAAGATTATATATATTATATATATTATATATTACATATAAATATATCACATTTTTTATCCATTGGCTGATACTTAGGTTATTTCCATATCTTGACTATTTTGAACAATGCTGCAATCAACATGGCAGTGCAGATATTCATTTAATTTCCTTTGGATATATACGCTGATTGATAACTAGATATATATTTTATTTGAATCATCACTTTTTCTGATGGGCTATCAGCATAAGATGGTGAAATGAGTGATAGAAAATGATTCTGAATGCTACAAAGAAACTTGGTAATGTGGTCTAATATGCTTTACTGTCCCTTGGAGGTTAAATGGTCCATTGCATTTATACTCCTAAAGCAGTTACATCTTACAGTGTTATAGTCAACACATGACTATCAACTGTAAGATATAAAAATGGGCAAGGTTATTAATACAAATTTTTAGAATTTAGTTATTTGTAATAAACTAATTTGTATATAATAGTATATGTAGTAATGTACACAACAAATTATATATACATACATTATACGTATACATATATATATTCTAGCACAATCCCATCTCAATAAATGATAAATAGTATAATTATGCTACCTTTCTACCATATTGCCTGGCAGGGTATCAGAGAGCATAAGAACATGGTCTGAGTGGTCGATTAGATTCTGGTTCATGGTTCTTTAATATTTCTGTTCTGGAAATTTCCCCCTTATGTTTGTTTCCTGACCTGTAAAATGGAGATAATAGCAGTGCCTACTTTGGATTGTTATGAAGATTATTGCTCAATAACAAGATGTTTTTATTTTATTTTATTACAGT